CAAAGAGAGCTGACCCGGAGACCGGGAGCCGGCGATCACCGTTACAGCGGTCTTTCGAATACGCATCCCTCCGACGACGCGCGATTCGAGTCGACGAAGAACTTGACGAAGAAACGTCGCGATTTGGTCATGATGAGAAAAATGCCGAACGCGGCGGGACGGACGAGCGCGTAACGAAACCGCGGATAAACGGAGAAGAAGGTGAAGGCGGCACGATTCGCGGTCGCACGGAAAGGTTGCCGGCTGCCGCCGCCGCCTTGGCACTGGCAGTGGCCCTCGCCTCGCGCCTAGCAACACCGAACGCCAAACTGTCGACTCGCCGAAGGCAGCCGGCACCGCACCACCGTGCCCCCCTTTTCAATAGACGTGTCCTCCTCTAGCACTCGTCCCGTCTTACTCGTCCGAGCGGTTAGCTCTCTCGCTCACGCAACACTTCTTTCCTTCTCTCTTTCTCCCGTACTGCCTCCCGCGTGTTCGACGCGACCATTTTCTTTTTCCGCTGGCAACATTCGCGCGATCGCGATTTATATTTGTCCCTGTCTCACGAACGAGCACTCATTCCTCCGTCGCTTTTTCTCGCATTGCGCGCAATTGCTGGCGAACCAGCCGGCCGCGGGAACAACGGAACCACTGCAAAAGCCGGCAACCGGTACAGACGCGAAGGATCGAGCCCATCGGCTGGCCACAGATTGATACAATGCAAGAAATTCTTCGTTTCTAACACTTTCGATATTCCTGTCGTCGTATGGCACGAGATACTACGTTTCTGAGATTCTTACGTAATCAATAATGATCTGTGAGGTCTATTTGTATTCTGGAGTAAGCAACAAACATCTTTGACCCGATCGTCGAAACGCGATCTTTTTGCTATGACGACAGTATTTTCAACGATAATAAAAAAGAATTCAGGGACGAGTTAAATACAAATATAGATCCTCGCCTCGTCGAGGATATTGAGAAATATTTCCATGATATGGATTCATTTTTCAATTCTAAGCAAGAGAAGCACGAGACGTAAAATAACTGTTTTCAGGAAACGCGTTCCCCCGAAGCCGTAAATTACGTTCAACTTTTTATACAACTGCATGAAATTTTTACAGTGAACTACGCGACGCATCTACTATTGAAATACGGCATAACTACCCTCCTTTGTCAGTTGATAAAAGGCACCCGTGGAACACCGACCTGACGTAAACGGCTGCGTTTGTACGACACAATACCAAAATTACTCGAAATCATCTGATGTAATTCTATTAACTGAATTAACTCGAATAAACGCGTCTGCTTAATACAATTTTATTCTGTCCTAACAACGAACAAGAGATACGTCCCAATTTCTACTCAATACCATAATTTTCTATAATTTTATATCATCTTAAAATTATAGAAAAATTAGCCAGTGGAAATTGCGACGTGTCACCCTGGTAACCTCGTCCGCGTGTACACGTTTACCGATTTCCTTGATATCCCTTCCGTTTTCTTTTCTCCTGCTCGTTCGTCTCGGGCGAAATGGGTCACGGTGCAAAAGCGGAGGAGCAAGATGGGACGGGAATGACGGCGACAAGGAGAAAACCCGAGGACGAGGATCACGCGCGACGAGTACGTGCTTCGCATCCGGCGACGCGATGCGTTCCGTTCGCCATCGCCTGATTAACTCGACATCATTTATCAGATTAAATGGATAATGCTGGCCGGCGCGGTGTCTGACGTAACGCCGCGCTCCCAGCCGCTTCTCAAAGATTCTTTATTATCTCACCGCGGACAAGGTGTTACGCAATCCGGTGACCACTAAAATTGGAACCTGACGATCGATCGCGTTAACGAGTTCATTGTGTTCGAAACGCAGCAGGGCTCGGCGTTGTATAACATCGGCGAATAATTTCGATATCAAGAAAGAGGCAACTCTTCAATGGAAATTTTACTTCAGAACTCTTTTCATATATTTCAGCAGAGATTCTTATGAACATTCTGAGGGTTGCTCTCAGACGAATTAAATACGACCGGTTTTAAAATGAATTTTTAAGATATTGCACTTTCGCAGTCAGTGCGAAGTTTAATGAACCCTGTACATGCATACGACTTACTAAATCTACAAATGTTTCAAATTTTTATTAGATAAATAGAAGTTAAAACAAAACCGGCCGTTTACTTTTCTCTTCACAATTTTGACTAATAGAAATTTGTATCAAATTATTTGTAAGCAATAGATAGTGAAGCCTTGTAGAATTTCACAGGAAAATATGTTGTTCCAATATTAGAAAGATGTCTATATACTTTCTAGACCCACTGTGTGATGAGCTACCCTATGGCACACCTGAGAGAATGACTTAAACGACAAAATCACAGTCATCTCGCCATGATCGCATGGCTCAACCGGTAATTAGAGTTTACGGCAGCCACGTTGATTAGATCGTTAAAGGAACTGTTATGGCGACTAAATACAGTCGAGCCACTCCCACTCGTCTTCGTTGAATCGCAATTTGATACAGAACGTTATTCAGGACCGCGTAACTAGAACATACCTGCCACTAGACCACGGCCCTTACCAACTTCAAACTGAACACGAACTTTGGTTTACAATTTGTAACTCTGAGAGAATGATTACGATATTGCATGGGAATCATAAAATAGTTTATTGAGAAGAATCAATACCTCTGTTGATACCTAACGATTACATGCACGCTGCCACTGTTTAATAATGTCTCCTCGGTAGAGAAACGATGCTTGATTTCAAATTACGATGCGACAATCGTGGTGTCCCTCGAACAGGGTACGAGTTTTCCTAAAAACGAAGACGTGGCACGCATGTATGCATGATTCTTGGACAGAAGCAGGAAATTATTAGGTCCGCCAGCGATCTGCTTGAGTTGTCCGAGTAAATTGCTCGAATTACCTCAGCACCCGACAATGGAAGGTGACCTACTAGCAGGAACGATCTCTCCAAAGAATTGTGCAACTTTCAACTTTACAATATTCGCTTATTTCGATGTACAATTACAAGCTGCGTCGTTATCTCTAAAAAAATATTGAAAACCGTTTCAACGCGCGATACATTTGATTCTTGGCACGGATAGAGGCAATGAAGCGACTTAACGTGGAAATTTGCGAGACGATCGTTGTGATATGCGTAAAGTAGCATATCATTAGCTCGAATTCTCTCGTTTAGATTTGATCTTCGTTCCCACTTCCCTCGACTTCACGTTTCTGAAATACTACGGAACGACGTGGCACGTTCAGTTGAAAATACAAATATTTCGGACGAGATGCACGAGATATAAAATTTACGAAGACTGTTCGGTACTAGTCGGACCTATCGAAACCTTCTATAAATGCCGTTGGTACAAATTTAGTCGATTCGCGAGAGACACTAAAAACCGTGGCACGATTGTAGTTGCCGGCCAAGGTCGTGGCCTTAATCGTTATTGGGCGCCCGAGTCATGTATACATGAGCCATACATGTATACCAGATGCTCTCTAGGATTTAAAGTTCCTCCAACCAGCAGTCGTTGCATCGACTTCGGGGAGCACTCTAGACGAACGATACGCCAGTGAGGAACGTCCTCCGACCATAACCGAATAAATGGATTTGGAACTCTGAATCGAGGGGCCAATTATGTTTCCCGCGTCGTTAACAAGGACAGTCTCGTCGAAAGGTGATGATCGACAGATCGGTTCGAATCATGTATGCTCTTTGAACTATCTGCGATCGAAGGTAAAGAGCGATCTTTGGGTTCATCTGGAAGTCAGAAATTGACGAGACGGAATTCGTTCGTAACAAGATCGTCGAGTGCGCGATGAGGATTGAAAGAGAGTTGACCCAGCGGCGATGATTCAATACCGATAATCGATCGTCCTTGACGATGGTCGATCGTCGCGGCCGGCCTTCGTGCCAGTCAGACACGCTTTGAACCTCTCTTTTATGCCTCACTTGATGAAGTAAAAAAGCACCGAAACACAAGCTACGGGAGGAGAGAGCGTCGTTAACGTTATCTCTCTCGTCGCTTGCTCGAGCTCGGAAAAGAAATTTGTCCTCGACTCGCCGAGGCCGATACGTGATCAAAACTTGAAAAACTGCGAACAGCGAAGGAAGGCAGATTCGTAAAACGTGAATTCGAGATTCCGTTACGAGGCGTGCGTAAAATTAAATCCCGCGAAACGATTTGCTGACGACGATCATTCCGACTCATTTTATATTATGATCCGCGAAAATGGAAATGAAGTAGATATCGCGTGTCAGAGAGGAGGTGAAAGAAGAAGAGAGGGAGCGAGAGGAAATCGGAGGAGAGAGGCACGCCCTGTTCTATTGGAATATCACGTCGGTGAAACGGTCGGCCGTCAGAAACAAGAGGCCGGATTAATGCAACGAATTAATGATATATCATTTCCTCTGTGTGTGCCTTTGTCTCACCCTTTCTCTCCGGTGAAATGCCTTTCACCGCTTCCATGCTATATCCACAAAAGCGGACTCTCGTTTTAACCGATTAATACGATTTTATATAGATATCCAGTTACTTTTAGGAAGATCGAGGCAAAAGCTTTCTTTCGACGAGGTACAATGCTACCC